CCACCCCCCCCCCCCTCCCCCCCTCCCCACCACCCGACTCACCCCTCCCCCACACCCCCGGTCAATTTACAAAGCCAAGTATTCAGCGAGAAAATTTTTTTAATTTTACCATTTGCAAGTATCGTAATTTCCATATACCATTAATTATGAATTTATTGCTCCTATATTGTTATTTTCTTGAACATTATGGCATTATTGTTTGGCGTGTAATCTATTTCATCCAATCGAATTATTGAAACAATCGCTTTTCATCATTTTAAAAATCAATTAGCGCCTTCATTCATTATTTCCCTCCTTCGCAGCTACTTCTTATTATTATCGGCAAGCAAAATGTTCATTCGAAAAAGTCGAAAATTCAATCACTGTCAACGAGCTCATTATCGCACATTTAAACTCAATGACACTGCAGCCACAAAATGCAGCCCTCGGCCATTTGACGCAATCTAAGATGTTCTATGCTCGCAGCTTGTCTTCACCGCGTCATTCCGCGGAGTTGATTGCAAATCGCAGCAGCAAAGCGTTTTTATCGAAGAATTCGAGAGAAGGAAATTTATATTAAAGAAGGATTGTGCCTTGGTTGCTTTCGTAAAGGCATCGACACGGCCATCGGGCCATTGTCGGATCTTTAAAAAAGCCGCTGCTCAGCTGCTCGCTGATGCGCTTCACAATTTACTCGCAAAACGTATGCGCGCGCGAGCCTGGGCGATACGGGGGAGACTTCTCGTACGGCCAGGATTTTTTTACCGCTCGCACGGTATGGCACGTATAATACCGCGCAGAGCGTGTATAATACTCGTGTGTTAGCGTGGTGCGCGAGGCGAAATGGTTATCGAGGCGTCCGAGGTCGTGACGGCCAATGAGCGACGTACCGAGCGTAGAGGGTAGGGATAGGCGCAGGCAACATGTCGTTCTCGACGAGCAATCCGTTTGATTAGATTAGCTCGGGAGCCGTCGTCGCTGCCCCTCCCTGTCACTGTCGTTACAGCCACGGCTGCCCCCGCTGCCCCCGCTGCCCTCCCCCTCCCCTCCCACCCTGCACCCGCGAGCTGGCGCACGTCCAAAGTGGAGATATGCATTACGGGCACGAGGCGATCGTCTCCTTCTCGTGACTATGTGGGATACTCCGTGCGCTGGACCATCGCTCGTAGATCAGTAGTGGACGCGCTGCTCCAGTGACCGAGTGCCCTCGGTGCGCCAGCAATATGGGCCTTTTGTTCTCGAAGCTCTGGAGCTTGTTCGGCAACGAAGGTGAGTGAGAGCGAGCCTCTGTGCCTCGATCCTCTAATATCCTCCTGTCTTTTTGCAGAGCACAAGATCGTCATGGTGGGCCTCGACAATGCTGGCAAGACGACCATACTTTATCAGTTCTTAATGAACGAGGTGGTGCACACATCGCCGACTATTGGCTCGAACGTGGAGGAGGTCGTGTGGAAGAACATACACTTTATCATGTGGGACCTCGGTGGTCAACAGAGCCTTCGAGCTGCTTGGTCAACCTATTACACTAACACGGAGTTCATCATTGTTGTGATCGACAGTATGGATAGGGAGAGATTGGGTGTTATTAGGGAAGAGTTGTATTCGATGTTGGAGCGGGACGAGCTTAGCAAGGCGTCTGTTTTGGTTTATGCTAATAAGCAGGATTTGAAGGGAAGCATGTCTGCCACCGAAATATCGAGGCAGCTAGATCTGACGTCGATAAAGAAGCACCCCTGGCACATACAAAGTTGTTGCGCTTTGACGGGCGAAGGGTAAGTCTAGCTTTCGCATCTTGTATTGCTATCGGTCGTGCACTGTATTGCGAATTTTAATTTGTAGGTTGTATCAAGGATTGGAATGGATCGTTGGACGCTTAAAGAAGACATGACGTAGGATATAGGATTTTCGTGCACTTACGATAATGGATTTGAGCTATAGTGTGAGTGCTCCTAGAGTCGTGCAATTTAACGACTAGCAGATTTCCATCTTTTTTCCAAACAGTTTTTGGAGTAGCGGTGTCTGTTGGAACCGTCGTTGATAGCAGGTTGTTGGTTCAAAAGTTTCCATTTGCATTTTCAAAGAAGAGACATTGGGTCGTATTGAGTTTCGTATGCAATCGTATGGATAAGCACATTCGTGTATATAGTAGTTTTCATATTAGCACGATGAGAATGACGATGATAAGCTGCTGCAAAAATTTGGGCATCTCGATGCCAATGTTAATAAAGAGCCAAGGATTCTTGGTAGTTTATGCGTTAACTTGATTACCGATTGAAACTGAGCAGTGCATCTTGTAAGACTTCCCGACAAGGTTAACCAAAAAGACAAGAACGTACGACAAGAAATACAAAAACTAATTAAAAATTTCCAGCATTAATCGCTCGATTGTACACAATGACTCGGCGACGAGATAATCATCTCACCGATCTTATTTCCAAAGTAATATTTTTTTTAACAAATTATTAACTTAACAGTACGCTGTTTAATTTAAAATTACATAATTAAGAGTTGTAGTATACGCTTGAACGATAATTATAGTTAATGTATATTGAAAGAAGACTATTCGTAAAAGAATTTTCTTAAGAATGCTTAGATTTATTATGCGCTGTCAATGTTAATAGCTTTGAAAATTAATATTTTATATGACAGGTCTACTAAAGCATAGATAGATGTATTGCTAATTTTGCATTGGTATAGAAATACTCCAATTGGATTATTTTAACGAATTTTTAATAACAATGTTAAGAGGTTAATGACGAAGTTTCAATAAGTATTGTCAAGCTTGTTTAAGAATGAAAAATGATGGGCAATTATTTTCTCATATTGAGAAAAAGATCATTTCATGATCTGTATTGATGAGATTTTTCGTTTTCTAATTACATTTTTACGCCATTGTCTCATCGTTCAATTTATTGTATCCACTACAGTAATCGATAAATTATTATATTTCTATAAACTTAATTAATTAAATATTTTATATTCTGCCAATTGTAACTGGTACGAATGAAAGAAGGCAGTTTAATTAGATGAAAATGAAAATTAATCACGTCCTTAACATTTTTCTGAAGCCCTTTCTCCTCTCCTTTCCCCCAACCCATGCCAACCCCCAACCCCCCTAATTTCATCGAAGATTGTAAATTGTAATTCAAATAAAACAAAGATATACTGATTGAAAATTTTTCTATTTATTTATTTATTTGTTTCATTTTTTTTATTTTTTATTATAAATAAGCTTAGCACACACGCATTCATACTTATTATTGATGGATCCACCATCAATTCATTCTACATCATTTCCAAAATCAATAATTTACATTAAAACAAATCGAATTTCAAATACGTCGTCGGAGAGGTTGAAATAAGGGCGAACGGTGTATATTGATTGCTGCAACTGTATCATTGCTGATTAAAAACATAAAAAAATAACAACTACTCGACAATAAAGTAGAGATTTAAATTGATATAAATTGATTGGATCGACGAGATAATAGTTCCTTCGGGTGGCGGATGCAACAGAATTTGGCAGACGCGTATTGCTCTAATAATAGCGCCCAGGTAATGGTTTTTTTTTTTTTTTTTTTTTTTGCGAATCTCGGCGTCTACTTATATATTGCTTTTGTGTTGGAGAGACTTTTTATTAGTTTCGACAAATAAAATATACATTCGATTTTGCTTGTTCAATCAATCGCCGATAGTATTGATAGTTATTTAAATTCCTATGAATAATTATAAATGTGTGACGCGATTATATGGGTCGCTCAACTAATACTAGTCACACAATATTGTCTAGGCGTAAGGTTATCCTTCGGATATATTTATTTATAATATAAATATACTTTGTTGTCTACCGCTTGGTTTTGGCTCGCTAAGCGTCCGCCGGCGTCCGAATAACGCCAGCCACTCGTTTTCTTATTTTTCTGTTTTTTTTTTCTTATTGAGATTATCACCGCCGTTATAAACTTCCTATCGCTATCCACGCTCGATCCATCGTGACGTTATCGTTCACTTTCATCTGCGTTCTCCGTCCTTCTCATCCACGTCATTTCGCTCGTCTCTACTAAGCTCTCACTCGCACCCGTCCAACAATCTCTCCGAGGAAAAAAGAATTTCACATTGTCGACCCATTAAACAGTTAAACCTGCTCACTGTTGGTGCTGCTTATGTCGATTCTGATTTAATTGCTGCTGCTGCTGATTGTGCTGATTGTGCTGATTCTGCTGGTATTGCTATTACTGCCATCCCACCATCCACTCACTCACGTACACATTCTCTGTCTTGTTTGTTTGTTTGTTTGTTTGTTTGTTTGTTTGTTTCTCTCTCGCTATCTCTCTCTCTCTCTCTCTCTCTTCCTCCCTCCATCTGTCACTCTCGCCATCTTGCTTTTTGGATTTTTTGCTTGTTTTTTGTTTTTTATAATTATTTCCTTGTCTGTCATCTTGCTCTCGGTAACGTCGCACTTCTTTGATACCAAGAAAGCACAGAACGCATAATGAAAAATAAATACCACTTGCGTCAATTATGAGGAACAGATAAGAAATTTCCTCGGCCTACGGTCAAGAGGATGAGAAACGCGTTCGCTCGCTACGACTTTTGTCGAAGGTGTTTCATCAGCGGCGGAAGGATTTCAAGTTTCGTTAATTTTTTCGTGGGAGGAAAATGGGATGGGGAGGACTGGTCGGTTGGTCACTTTAGACATTGATGGACTTTATAAGTTGGTCGGTGCTCAAGGACTTGGGCCTCTCGATCGGTAGGCCAAGAGCGCGGGCCCAGATGAGATTGGCAAGGACACCAAGGGCGCGCGATACGCCGAATAGTACTGTATAGTAATTCATCTCCTTCATGCCGTAGTGTTGAAGGAGAGCACCAGAGTGGGCGTCCACGTTTGGCCACGGGTTCTTAACCTTGCCCGTCTCCAGGAGGATGGGCGGCACCACCTTGTACACTTGCGAAACCAGCTGGAAATATCATGATTCGTCAAATAACGTTCTTCGGATTGTGGCTATTATTGTCGAATGGGTCAGATTATTATGAAAAGCGTTAGTTAAAATTTCTGACGTAATATTTTTATTGCACATGGGCCGGTGGAGGAAGTCATTGTTTCAAATTCATTCAAGTCCTGGACATTTTCATGCAAAATCAGCCCACAACACATAAACATATGGCGCAGGACTTGACAAGAGAAAGCATCAATGCGTTAATGACAAAAGAGAGTTTTAAATATTTGCTTGCTGAATTGGTGGGCGATGAGGGGAGGGAGGGGAGTATGAAGGAGAATATGATGAAATAAAATTTTATAATAAACTGTGAGTGAGCGATAAGAATGAAAGAAAAAATGGGAGTCGGTAATCCGATCGTTATTCGTGATCTTACAAGTCCTGCGTTTATAATGATAGAAGAAGACGATTACCTTAAACAAGGAGTCGTCGGGCAGATGCTTAAGGGCGAATTCCCGTTGGCAGGTGTACCTCGGGTCGGTTTTCCTGAGCACGGCGTGTCCGTACCCGGGCACGACTTGCCCGCTCTTGAGAGTCTTCCAGATGAAGTTCTTGAGTTCCTCGTCGCTGGGATTATCGCCGATCTCCCCGCGGAGCTTCTGCAACCAGACGAGCACTTCCTGGTTGGCGAGGCCATGTAGAGGCCCGGCGAGACCGTTCATGCCCGCGGCGAACGAGAGGTAGGGGTCAGAGAGGGCCGAACCGACGAGATGGGTCGTATGGGCCGAGACGTTGCCGCCCTCGTGGTCCGCGTGGATGGTTAAGTAGAGACGCATCAGCTCGATAAAGTCCGGGTCATCGTAGCCGAGCATCGTGGAGAAATTAAAGGACCAGTCCTTGCCTGCGTCCACCGAACCGATACCCTTTCCGTCGTTGTAGATGTTCCTGTGGGTGTACAACGTGAGGATATCTGTTTTATCATCGCCTTTTACTCATAGGAGTCAAGAAAGAGAGAGAGAGAGAGAGAGAGAGAGAGAGAGAGAGAGAGAGAGAGAGAGATGAAAAAGAGACGTAGTACTGTCCTAGTTAAGAGGCCTCGTACTTTACGCATTATTGCTTTCTTCAAAACAGTCGAATGAGACTGACATGTAAATAAATAAATAAATAAATAAATAAATATATATATATATATATATTTTTTTTTTATATGTTATGATATGTATAGCGTGAACTTCCGAGAAATTTTCAACCGCAAAAATATCCCTTCAAAGCTTAGAACACTACAACCGATTTTGCGAATTACTTATTACTTTTAATTCTCAATAAACATATATTTTTTCTTTTCATAAATTTATTAAAATCCAAGAGGTTTGTTTATTATTCTAATATACGGGCACGGAAGCTTCCAACAATTCTTTATTCAATAAGCTTCCACTTCTTCAAAAATCGTTCTTGAAAAATTATAAAAACACAAAATACTATTTAAAGAAACATACTTTATAGTTCATACGTCGACATTCAACCGTTCAATATTCAACAATGAAAGACAATAAATATAAGAGACTAAACATTTAAATATCTTATAATTGTATAGTCTTTGCGAAACAGTAAAAATATTTAGATGTGATCGATAACTTTTTCCATTGAATTTTATTTTAAAATTAAAAGAAATGTTTACAAGCCACAATGACTAAATGTGGCAAGTAATGAACAATAATAGCGCGCGAATTTATAATTAATAAAGGAATCGAATGAATCTACATTATCATTTGCAGGATCAAATTTTTGATCTTACATTAATGTATAAGTTGTCTTAGACATCGTATCCAATTATAAAAAGAAATACTAATTGAATAAAATAACAGTGTTAATAAACATCGATTATGCATGGGAATTGTTTTGAATGATCACGTAATGAAAAATGTTCGCCTTTACTATTTACTAATCTAAATAATTACGAAAAATAAAATTTTATTAATAAAAAAAGCCTCTTTTAACAAATATTCATTAAATGAAATATTTAATAATTATGCGAAAATAAATGCATTGTAATCGTCGCTATTTAATAATTAATATTGGGTTAAATAACATTATTGCGGACAGTAACAGCGAGTACCGCCGTGAAACTCGTTGTCGCTCGTTCCATAACATACGTTTCATTTCTCCGAGAATACGCAGTTCGATTCTCCGAGTTTCAAGTAGCCGATTTGTTAAAAATAATTAGCGATAGTTTTTCACAATTCGTGTAGAGAAAATATACTCGTGCCAGACGGGCAGTTTATGAAGAGATACGAGGTATAAGAGATAAGGGCAAGGTGGCTGTGAGATTGAGTGGGCTAACCTGTAGATGGTTGCAGCGACGACAGGCAGCTTGGCGATGAGGTTCATCGTATCCTCGTAGGTGGTCTCCCAGTATTTGGACTTGTGCACCCCGGAACTGTAAGCTTTGACGAATTCGCTCTCGCTGTTGAGGATGGTAATAGCTGCGGAGAATTGACTCATCGGGTGAAGCGTCTTGGGGAAGTTATTGAGAGCTTTGGTAACATGAACTGGCAATGCGCTACGAGAAGCCCACTCCTCGGAAATGGCCTTCACTTGGGCGTCCTTGGGCACATCGCCGGTTAAGAGCAACCAGAACAGACCCTCCGGCAGAGGCTCCGTGCCGTTCGTGGCCTTCGGCAAGAGCTTCTGGCACTCCGGTATGGACAAGCCCCGGAAGCGGATACCCTCCTCGGGGTCAAGGACAGAGGGCTCCCATACGAGACCCTTAATGCCTCGCATGCCACCGTACATCTGCGCAATATTCATATTTAATGAAATGAAATTAATTTTAAGCCACTAATCATACGATTGGAGTAAATATAAAAAATGTTCGATTGATTATAATAGTTAATTATAGTCAATATTAATATTCTTATATATTTCGATTTACTTATGTTTATAAGTAAATAAGCCCCCTCCGCGACAAGATCAGTAAATTTTATAAACATATGAATTTAAAGAATGGCAAAAAATATTTTAAAAAAAATCTAGTCATAGTTGTTTATGATTTATATTTTGAAACTCGAGTGAAATTTTATCTCGCTTGAATAAAGTTATTATATACATAATTCGACTTATTTCTATAACATATCGTTGTTTATCAAGAAATGGAAATTTCCAAATTATTAATCGTACGATTAGTTTTCTGTAACTTCGTAATAGCAATATAGCAGAGGATATTTCTTCCTATTATCAAAACTATAATTATTTCTCTGGTTGACTTTTAAAATATGCCATAATGACGAGTAATTGAAAGTCAATAGAATAATAAGAATGGAATAGTAAGAATAGAATAATAATGTACAGTGACAAGCAAAATTATGATATTTAAACAGTATTATTATTATTATTCAACTTTCCTTAATCGTATCGCAATTTATAAAATTGCAATCTGTATCGATATAAAATCGAATGCAACTGAAGCTGAGATTATAAAGACTGACCTGGCCAGTGTCCATATATCGTCGTTAATAATCCCTGAAACTCGACTCGCGTCGTTCATGAAAGTTCTAATTAAAAGAAAGTTGCCGTTGTGACCCTTCGTTTACGACCCGCTGACACGAATCTCTCGGTGCAGAAGAGCCACGGGATCGATGGCCCCGTAAAAAGCGAAAAATAACGCTGGCGACGGGCGCTGACCGGGTCATTATCGCGGTCAGGCAGCGAAAAACGGTCGCGGAAATCATCGGCGATGGTAAAAAAAGTTTCGTCCTTGTAAGCCATTCATTGCCGAGTATTGCGTGCCTGGCTATGCACGATGGTTGATAAAGTAGGTGACTGCGAGTCTTGTTGCACAAGGAGCGAGTCCTTCGAATTGGCAGACCCTTGCGATATATTCAAGGGAAGCGAAGAAGAGTCGTGCCAGACGGTGCATTGCGATAATTCATTGTTTATTGCATTTTCTCTAGTTTGCTTTTCCCGTTTTCTCTTTGTCCCATTTCGACGCGTCCGAGTATCGATCGATTCTTAGTAAGAACTTTACAAATATACGATACTTTATTAATAATTACTTTTCAAATAATGGAGAGTAGCTTTTATTATAGATAACTCAGTGAAATAGTTTGATACACCATAATTAATCAGACGTAAATAATTACTAAAATACAGATATTAGAAACTTTGAATTTTCACTCCACATTAAGCTACGATTCTATTAAAATATAAATCTATGCAAAGTTTATTTGTCTCATTGATTATATTCTAACTATAATTTTTTTTTTTTTTTTTTTTTTTTTTTATGACAGTACTTGTCGCAATTTAACAGCAATAAATAAGTATACGTCGAACGACACAATAAATTTATTAATAAGATATCCTGTCCCGCGTGAAAGGTTTAAAAATAAAACTAGATAGAGTTATCGTTGAAATAAATTTACATTACGCGAAGATTGCCAGATAAATAAACATGAGTGGAAATTCTGAGCTGCGTCTGTTGTATTATATATACCACCATCAAAAATTCCTTTCCCATATTAAATATTATATCATATCAAAAATCATTTGCCAAATATTACAAGCTCTTTTAACAACTTTATAAATATTCATCGAGAAGTACATTACACTCCCATTATCATTAATATCAAAGCGCAACATTAATAAAGACGTAATTATGTGCATAAATTCAGCTTCCTTACCATGTCGACGGTGATGTCACCGACCTTCTTCGAGCCGTGACTCTTACGGAAAGCCTTGATGCGCTCTTGCTCCTTCGGTATCTTATCGGCTATGATTTTTTTTAAGTCGACCGAGGCATCGCTGAGCGAGCGAATTCCCACGCCGCTGCTCAATTTCTGCAAATTCAAAAAATAGCAATGGGTTTAAAATTTTGCTTTGAAAATTCTTCACTTCACGCGAGATCTCTTAATTTACTTATTGCGTTATAGCTTCGCGGAAATTAGATAATACTTTATCGACTTATTTATTATATACTTTGAGCTTCGGTATCCTTTACGTCATTATAGACTTTTATTTACACTAGCGCAATGTATTATCGTTTGTTAATGTGGGGCGAGCGAGTGCGCTTGTCTATTTAGCTTCTAACGCCACTTAACATAATAATTCACGAGTATTGCAGACATTCTTTGGGTTTACGTCATGTTGAAACGTTTGATGGGGATATAGCGTTATTAAACTCAGCCTAAAGTGAAATTATTTAATATCATCTCGAATACCCTTATTCGCAAATGTTAGATTCGCATTATTGGTTTGATAATCATTGTTTAAAACATAGTTCAGGATCTATACGATTATACGTGCCATTAGAATTTATTGCTACTATTTTTAAATGTAAAAACTTTGTATTTACATAACATTCGTTTCTTCAATTGAAATGTAATCGTGCAGTTTTACTGATTGTCTAGTGTAAAAAAATGTCGGATCATACAATGCATTTGAAATTAAGTTAAAAGAAATTAAAAGTAAACACTGCTATTATGTTATTTTATAAATAATTTTTATTTCAAGAGAAATTTTCCTTAAAACATTTTATGTTGTATTATCTCCCATTTGACATCTGCAATATTTCATTCTTTTTTTTCAATTATTCTGATTGGAAAACGTATATATATATATATATATATATATATATATATATATATATTCGTAACGAGAATGCAAAATCAATCAATACAAGTCTTATAAACGAAAACTCCAAGTGCACAAAGAACGTGATAATTATTCATTGAAAGATTATTCTTTTGAAACGAGTAGCACTCGTGACGAATACAAAATCTATTTCAACAATAGAGAAATGTGAGAAAATTTCACACAAAAATACTTTATTATTAATAATTTTTACCATCTGAAACTGTCAAAATTAAATGCTTACGTACCGCTGATAAAAGAATCATCTCATTTTAACATATTTTCGACGTTTTGTCTCTAAAGTTAATAATTATTGCATTGCATTTCAAATATCAATAATGTGAATATGAATTATACCGGAATAAACGACGATTCGACAATAATTGTAGAGTTTGGACAAGAGATTTTTTCCTCGAATGATTTAACTTGGTCGTTTTTACTCTATCAGTTTAATCTTTAGAACGTCAAATAGCCAGCGTAGGTAAAAAAAAGAAGAAATGTAGTAAGCCCACGTGGATCTGTTGCATCTGTTACACTCGCTTATCACATCATTTTGTGAGATGTTGTATTTACTATTTCTTATAATCGTAAAAGGTAATTGGACGATCGTGTAATCTTGTTCCTCAAATCGCACGATAAAGAAAATCTCGAGAAATCATTATTAAGGCAAACGAGCGATGAGATCGAAGTCTACATGACCTTGAATATCGCTTGCATCTCGGTGTGTTGGCGGCGGTGAACATCGTATTATTACGCAAGAATTGAGAAACGCGGGGGCTCGAGTCGTTAAGTGCTGCCTGTGAAAAGTGTGCCGTGTCATTCGTGATGGTCGGAAAAAAATTGCTCCAATTATGTAAGAGGCACACGACAGAGCGTATTCCATTAATGCCGATTATTTCACAAAACCATTATCTCCGTGGCTTTACAGCGATCAATAATTTAGCCTACGATTTATCTTATTTAATTGCTTTTCACATATACGATTACATATAGATTTTTATGGTAAAAAAGAAACGCGTCAATAATTTAAAAATAATGCATATCGATTGGTCAGAAAATTCTTTCCAATATCGCGTATAAAATTAGAAAAATTGTATTTTTTTTTTTTTAGACCAATTATAAAGCATTTAACTATTCCATTTCCATAATATTACTGTTATTTGTCTAAAACTTTTAGACTTTATTTATTAGAAAAATGTGTCATTAATAAAATATATTATTCAATACATTATAAAAAAAAAAAAAAAAAAAAAAAAGAGAGAGAGAGAGAGAGAGAGAATTATTAAAATACATGTAATAGAGTAATGTCACATGTAAGCTCGATATTCCTGTATGTTACAACTAGATATGAAAATCATATTGTAGTCGAACTTAATGGACACAGAATATTATTACATTTCAAAGATAAAAATTTTCAATTTATTTCTGTCTTTACATTTTATCGAATAATATCAGGTGGTTAAGTATCATTAACAATACAATAATTATTATCATAAATTCGTAGATCCACAATAAAGTCAATGATTAGTTAAGCGATTATTTGAGCAGAGTTTTATATTCAGAAGAAATAAAATACTTGATAGGAAATCTGAAAGATTTGTACAATATTAATCGTTAGAGATTTATAGATGGAAAGATGAAAGTTAAAGAATAGACAAATTGACAAAAATTTATTATTTCAATTATAAGTGATTTTAATTATTAGTTGCGCAATTTAAAGTTTACGCAGCTTTCGATTAATCGAGTCATTAGCTATCCAGTTATATAACAATTTATCATCATATCTTTTCAACATTAAATAAGTCATGTTGAGCACAAAGCAAACAATATCAAAACTGGAGTTTTCACGGCACAAAAGCTCATTCCATATCCTTTTCGCGCATTACAAGCTTTGGTAAGGCAAAATAGCCTATTCAACTTACACGTTTCATAGCCAATCAAAGAGACGTACGAAACAAAATACGCGGCTGAAATACGGAGTCGTACATATCGAACGCTCCATTACGACTTTGCGTTCCGTGGTTCAAATTCACTATGAGATTACATCGGTAATACTTGCGAATTTATTCGACGCGAAAGATGAAACCACACCTGGCCGCTCATTACTCGTGCTTCTTCAATTGTAAGCGAGCCAGCGACGTAACTCAAGAATGAGAGAAACGCAAGTTCCGGGGATCGACTTGGGCAGTAACCCTCTTATCGGCGGACCCCCCCCCCCCACCATATCAGAGTGAGACGCTATTGCGTTAGTAGGGGCGGGAGAGGACTTTGGATCTTGCCGCTTCGAACTGAGCAGCTAGTCCGCTATGATTACTAAACGTTTGCGCGTGGTTAAACGAGCTTTTGTTTGGGATAAGAATAGCGGCCATTTCTCCGACACATGTTTAATCGACCTTTTGCCGACTGACTTCGTTTTACCACTCTTTTTTTATTTTGTTCAATCTCAAGATGTGACGATAAATACGCGCCCAGGCAGTTGCCACGATCCTAAGGTTACAAGATTTTTTTTTTATTAGCAGATGCGAAACGCCAATGAGTGTTAATTTTTTTGCGAAAACAACGCTCGTTGATTATTTGCTTGTATAAGCGTAATTATTAGAAAATGGCTCTCTCTCTCTCTCTCTCTCTCTCTCTCTCTCTCTCTCTCGTATGACTATTTAATTTTATACGATCTTATTCAACGAATTTGATTATAATATCTCTTCGAAGATTCCGATTCACTTACTATCGATCTTTCATTCGATATTCAATATTTTAAATGTGTAACTCTTTTTTTTTAGCAGAACTTTTAAAAGTGTCGATATTAGTATTGCTCATTTTGTTGAAAATAGTAGAAGAAAATCAATGATTCAGCAATATCACTATTTTCCAAGTATGCCTCGTCAATATTCTTTTATCAAGTATTACTTAATCATGTTTTAAAATACTGATATACTCTTATTACGTCAATTGTAAGAGTATAATAATAAAATTGTTTATTATGTTAAAAAGAAAAGAAAATAAATAAATAAAATTTAAAAAAAAAATGTATGCACTCAGTACAAGAAGTTGAAGAGAAAAAGTAAGGAATCGATAAAATGCCATTTTATTGAGTCAAATTATAATAAATTGAGTTTGTTAATCTCATAGTTTTATAAATATTTATATTTTTTATTTATTGTATTATATGCAACTTTATGGAACGAGAGACTATTCTTTATATGCATGGCAACACATTTGAATTTCATGATTTTCTTTTTCAAGATAAATGAGAGGCATTGGTGAGTAAAAAAAGCCTTATTCAAACAATAAATTCTCATAAAATTTTCTAACGACAGTAAGTAGCAATATACTGGTGAAAAGTTCAACAAATTAGATGATGATTTATATTGTTAAATTAAATGAGACTAGCGAGTCCACGAATTTCTTAATGTTCTTTTATCCTAAAGGTGAGGCTCTTTTCAAAACGCATTTAATCAATCGATGGTCACGACATGTTTTTTTCTTGTAAGTTAAGTTAATTTTCTTTACATTTCCAAGCTTCTCTGCGTTCACCACGCGATGGTTAATAATTACCATCGCCTACGCTTTATTACTCGATTCAAAATTTATATTGGAGACACGTGCCTTTCGGATTATTAAAGATGACAATTGTAGCTTGGAAGTTGAAATCGCAAAATTCAATTTTAATAAAAAATAAATGTTAGTATTAACATTACTCTAATTTAAAAACATCTTCATTTTTTATAATATAATTATTATTTATCGTCTACATAGAAAATTATTTGTCCAGCAGATTTTCCTTCTATCGACTAAGCCGAGTCCATTTCGAACAAAATTGTAATAACAAAGTACGACAAAAAAGTACTTGAATAATCAAATCTTGCTATCTCGTAGATAAATGTATTATCGTTCGAATATTTGATAAAAGTAATACCTTTTGTAATGCTAATAATTACATATGCTAACTGAAAATACATGAAATATCTGATTATGTATACGTTACATTACATTAAAGCAACTTTTTTTTTCAATAATATATATTAAATTATTGTAATATTTTATGTCACGTAAAAATTCTTTAAAAGCGTGATTATGCTAAGTTTTATTTTTAAAATTTTTTTACATTTCATTGGCTATTAGTTACTGATATATTTTGCATAATATAATTAATAAGTAATGTGAGGAAGACTGTACAATGTTTAAGTACCACTATTTATGTAAAATA